ATGCAGGAAGAGACTGGACAAAAATCGTGCACCTATGGATGAGGACAGTAGGGGTGTGGGGGTGGGGGCAGAGGATGGGGTGGGAACCGGGTGGAGGGGAGCTATGGGGGGAAAAAAGAGGAATAACTGTAATAAACTGAACAATAAAGATTTAATTAAAAAAATTAAAAGAAAACATCAAATAAAAATGAGTTAAAAAATAAAACAATCTGATACCAACCAAGCAGCTAGAAAACTATGTAGGTCCTACCTACTTTTTCTTTCAGTGCTAGTTCCAGATCACAATGACATTGGTCAACAAACAATACACCCTAATTCAGCAGTTGCCAACCTTTTGGACCTCATGGACCACCAGTGGCCCGTGGATCACCGGTTGGCGACCGCTGCCCTAATTAATCATTTGCAATATAGGCACACAGATTTTTAAAACTCTGTTGGAGACATGGCTAAACAAAAATGTTGCTCATCATACTTTTATAACAGCAAAAAAAACCTAAACAAAACAAAAAACTGAGTGTCCATCACAAGGGAACTGGCGAAATAAAGCATGGACATTAATATACTAGAGGCCCCGAGCACAAAATTCACATGCATGTACGGTCCCTAGGCCTGGCGTAGATCAGGACCATCTTCCCCAGATACTGGCAGCTGGCCCCGTCCCCCGCCATCAGGTGATTGGAGCCTGCTAGCCCGGGAAAGAGACCAAGAGGTGATCAGTTTGCCTCATAGTGACTGGTCCAGTGGTCATTCTGCTGTTAGGGTCAATTTGCATATTACCCTCTTATTATATAGGATATTATCAGTACAGAAAGACAGTGTTGACATATTGTTTTATGGGGTGAAAAGCATATTCCAACTACATATACATACTAGTATATATGTATACTAGAGACCCGATGCATGAAATTCATGCAAGAGTAGGCCTTTTTCCCCCCTGGCTGCTGGCACCAGCTTCCCTCTGGCACCCAGGACCCGGGGTTCCCTCTGGCTGCCAGCAGGCACCCGGGACACCCAGGCTTCCCTCACAACCCTGGCTTCATCAAGAAGGTTGTTCAGTCTAATTAGCATATTGCATTTTTATTATTATAGATATAAAAATTATGATCTAAGTTTTATTAATACATATAAAAATGTTTAAAGCATATTCCAAAAGACTCTGGCTGTGTAGTTCAGTAGGTTAAGAGCGTCATCCTGATATGCCAAGGTTGCAGGTTAGATCTCCAGTCAGGGCACATAAAAGAAGCAACCACTGAATACATAAATAAACAAGTGGAACAACAAATAGAGGTTTCTCTCTCCCCCTAATATCCATTAACCAATAAAAAAATTTAAAAGCATATTCCAAAGAACGTGGTCAAAATTGTAAGTAATTTTTAACACAACATCCTCTGAAATATCAAAATTTAGATAATTAGAAAACAATAAAATGTATTACAGTCCTTAAAACAAACAAACAACTCTCCCCTCCTACCCCATTACAGACCATTATGTTCATTTGGAACAGGGGTGGGCAAACTTTTTGACTCAAGGGCCACAATGGGTTCTTAAACTGGACCGGAGGGCTGGAACAAAGGCATGGATGGAGTGTTTGTGTGAACTAATATAAATTCAAAGTAAACATCATTACATAAAAGGGTACGGTTTTTGTTTTTTTAGTTTTATTCATTTCAAACTGGCCGGATCCAGCCCGTGGGCTGTAGTTTGCCCATGGCTGATTTGGAACTTTGGCCTTCCTGTCTCAATTCTTTCATTTTTATTTTGTTTTTCATTTAATTGCGAGCAACTACCCTTGAGCATCTTGTATGTCTTCTTAAAATCTGAACATTTTACCGCAAACCTTTTCATTATTAAAATGTAGTGGGCCCACATACCTATCATTTACCATTCACAATTTTTTTTATTGGCAGATACCGATTGTTATGTTATAAAACACAGGATTCCTTAAAGTACAGGATCACATCTTATATAAATACTAGTGGCCTGGTGCACAGATTCATGTACATTGCAAGGGAATCTGGTCCAGGTGAACCAGATTCGAGGCTGACAAGGCCCCAGCAGCAACCTAACCTATCAGTCAGAGCGTCTGCCCCCTGGTGGTTATAACATTATATA